TGGAGTAGTGATATGTTGTTTAGCAAGAGAATCTGCTAAATTGTTAAAGGTATTATTTGTATGGGCTTGAACTTTGTGAAAAGTTATACGTAATGAATAAGATTTTATAATGTTAAGAAGTGTATGCCATAATGGCCAAGCATTAAATTTAATTGATAATCCGCCTATGAACTGGAGAATAGGCAAAATGAGACGTCTGCATCTAAAATTTTTTTTCGTACTAAATTAATAACACATGCCCATTAATTGAAAATTGTAGAGCTCGTCGAGACGCATCTAACAGTGGTTAGATCATCCAAATCAGCCCAGTGGATGGCGAGATATCATCAAAATACGATTGGCCGACTATATAAAAATCTGTGACGAAAATTATATATGAAAATCACCATCGGCGAAATGTGGCGTGCTCCCATCTAAAACTTTTTTTCGTACTAAGTTAACAACACATACCCATTAATTGAAAATTGTAGAGCTCGTCAAGACGCATCTAATGGTGATTAGATCATTCAAATCGGCCCAGTGGATAAGGTATTTAGTAAAATAGAACTGTACGGCAGTACAAATTTGGACAGACATACGAAAATTATACCAAATTTTGATCGTACATACAGTTAATATCGACTTGCAAGTTTCAATTTTTATAAATAGCCCTTTTTGATAGTTAGGGTTAGGGTGAGCGCTAGTATTGTCCTTTTTTTCATGTTAGGATTATAGGAAAGTAATTTAGGTTTTACGACTTTTTCTTTTACAAACCATACATACTATCATAATTTCTACACGTCCATCCTAATTTACGTTTCCGTACTGTACTACTTTACTATATACCCATTGAATCGTGAGATATTGTCAAAAAATGATTGACCAACTATATAAAATCTCTATATAAACAATATTTGTTTACATAGAGATTTTATATAGTCGGCTAATCGTTTTTCAACAATATCTCCTATCCACTAGGCCGATTTGAATGATCTAACCACCATTAGATGCATCTCGACGAGCTTTACAATTGTCAATTAATGGACATGTGTTGTTAACTTAGTACGAAAAATAGTTTAGATGGGAGCACACCACATTTCGCCAATAGTGATTTTCATATGTAATTTTTATATAGTCAGCCAATCATATTTCGATGATATCTCGCCATCCACTAGGCTGATTTGGATGATCTAACCACAGTTAGATGTGTCTCGACGAGCTCTACAATTTTCAATTAATGGGTATATGTCATTAATTTAGTAAGAAAAAAAAGTTTTAGATGGCAGACGTCTCATTTCGCCTATTCTCCAGTTTATAGGCAGATTATCAATTAATTGACGATTCTCCAGTCAACTGAAAAATGATCATAGTAAAAGTGACGCAGTTCTATGTATAAATTACTATAGATGCGAAAGTAGAAATTTTCTAGTGATTGTCCAAAGAAAACTTTTTTTCTTACTAAGTTAATCATCTTTGAGTCTCTAAATAAAGTTGTAGAGCTCATCGAGACGAATCTAATAGTAGTTAAATCATCCAAATAGGCCTTGTGGATGCCAAGATATCTTTGAAAAATGTTTTATCAACTATATAAAATTCTTTAAGAACAATCTAAAGAATTCAAAAAGCATTGCATGCACGTGATATTCTTTATTGGTTGGATGCACCTGGCCATTAGCGCAAGCTATTAAACTTTATTAGGTGAATTATATTGAGAACGCGCAGCATACATCAGTGCAATTGATGTATAGACTGAGACGGGACATGCTCCCGGAAATGACATCTATAATTGTGCTGGGTATCACCATCCTCAGCTGAATTCAAGATGTGTAGCAACAGTTAGTGGTTTCCTACACTGCATAATGCAGGCCGACTTTGATATAAAGTTTTTTGAAAATATCACAAACGGCAGGATTCTGCACAGGTGGGAGGGTTTGGGCGAAAGTTTGGCTCCGTATTCGCACGATGCTATCGTTACCTTCCGTGCATCGGCTATCTTATATTGAATCTGTCAATGAGATTACTTGTTAGTACATATGCGCATTTATTCATAGAGTTTCTCAAATAGGCAGCTGATTAAATTTGTACTCATGGTAAAAAAAAACTCTTTCTGCTTATCATTTGTACACAAAATTTCGTCACAATAATTTTCACATTTTTCTCAATTTACGGAAAATTTTATTATGTTAACAACCTCTTGACCCTTAATAACATTTGTTCAGCTACTGTTTTTACATATATTTGTAAAGTTTCAAGTCTGTATCTCTCATCGTTCTTGAGATATTCGATTTACAAGAACAGACGGACAAAACTCTGTTC